TTGGGGGGGGGGGGGGTTCTTGGCGCAGAACTCAGCAGGAAGAGCAGCGCGGAAGCGAGCGTCACTAGTGCGCAGGTGGGTAATGAGGTCGGCTACAGTGGCAAAAGAAGCAAGGTCGGGAAAGAGGTACGGTAGCATGAGGCGGCTCAGTGCAGCAGTGGCAGGGGTGGAGTAGCGTGCAATAACGGCGTCGTACAAGGTCTGAGCACTCTTGTACGACCCAAAGTGCGCACGCTCAGCAGGAGGGAGGTGGCGACGCACAGCAAGACGTGCAGCAGCATCGCATGTGGCCCACTGTGAGCGAACAGTGGCATCCTCAGTAGCAGCAGGGGCGGGAGAGGCACCAGAAGTGAGATCAAAGAGAGAGAGTCCGTCAGCTCTGTCGCAGTGTAGGAAATGTGAAACAAGTGAACAAGAATGTGTGAACTATGAATGAAGGCAGTACAAATATGAAACCCTAACTGGGCTGTAACCCCTATGGGATACCCCACTACAGCCTACACAATAGTATAAGCTATAGATATGTTCTGACACACCCCCATAGGCAAAGTGGGGGAGAACAAGGGGTCACAAGACCAGTCAAGCAAAGCAAAGCAAAGCAAGCTCGGGGTGGATCACAAAGTCACCACACAGTCCGAGCACAAGAGCAGGGCCAGAGGCCAGTTCACATGCAGGAGTACAGACATATATAAAACTAGACAAGCAAGAGCAGGTATATATATGTCCCAGTACAAGTAAAGTCAAGAGGAGAGCAAGTGAGGCAAGACAGGCACAAGACCCAACTGGGTGCAGAGGCGCTGATGGTCACAAGGCGCAAGTGCCTTAGTGAACACATCAGCAGTGTTGGCCTCAGAGGCCACGTACGCAAGCCGCAACTGTCCACGCTGCTGCAGCTCACGAGCAAGGAAGTAGCGAAGAGCAATGTGCTTCGTTCTGTGCTCCAAACGCTGCTCTCGACACAAGGCCAGCATGGCCTTGTTGTCTACGTACAGCACTGGAGGAGAACGAGGCGGCTCTCCAAGGTCAGTCAGCAGGTAGGTGAGCCAGCGAAGCTCCTGTGCAGCCATGGCCCCGGCGTAGATCTCAGCCTCACAACTGGAGCTGAGAACCGAAGACGAACGAGTAGCCCGCCACGAGACAGAGCCGGAACCAAGACTGAAGGTGTAACCCTGTGACGACCGCAGCGTAGCCTAGTCGTCAGCCCAAGAAGCGTCCGCGTGCCCTGTAAGGACCACTGGACTCCGCCCTCCAAGCACTAGCCCCATGCCCGACGTACTGCACAGGTAGCGCAATACCCTCTTCGCTGCAGCCATGTGCTCTGGTCGGTGTCTACCAGGAGCAACATAGCGTGCAAGAATGCTAAGAGGGTATGCAAGGTCAGGTCGTGTGCAGGTCATCAGGTACATGAGGCAGCCAACAAGCTCTGGGTACGGGCCACTCGACTCTACGGACTCATCCGAAGGCAGAGCTGAGAGCGAGTGGCGAGTAGACAGAGGAGTGGCCTGAGGCGAGGAGTACGTGAAGCCGAAGCGCTGAAGGACCTGCTGCACCATGTGTGACTGAGTCAAGGTAATGGTGCGGCGTGCTCTGTCCCGACTGATCTGCAAGCCAAGGTAGCTGCGCAGTTCACCCAAGTCTGTGCACGTGTGTCTCTTCAGCAGCTCGGACTTCACGTAGGCGAGTCCAGCAGTGTCCGCTGTGGCAAAGACCAAGTCCTCGACGTACACGAGGATGTAGAACGGCGGCAGAGAAGTGTCGGTGCGCAGAAACAGCGACGGGTCAGCAGTAGAAGGAGCAAACCCAAGAGCCGCAAGCGTAGTCCTCAGTGTGTTGTGCCACTCACGCGGTGCCTGGCGGAGACCGTAGACTGGTCGTCGGAGGCTCCACTGGGTGCCAGGAGGGAAAGTCCCAGTGAAGCCAGGTGGACGGCGCAGCCAGATCTCCTCGTGCAAGCTACCCTGCAGGAACGCAGTGCTGAAGTCGAGAGAGTGAAGCTCGTAGTCGCGCTGAGCGGCTACGTGTAGCAGCACCCGAAGTGTGGTCATCTTCGGGGTGGGAGAGAAGGTCTGAAAGTAGTCAACTCCCTGCCGCTGACTGAAGCCACGAGCAACGTACCGCGCCTTGAAGACAGGTGGAGAGCCCGGCGGCCGCTTCACCCTGAAGATCCACATGCCACTGACGATGTTCGCCCCAGGAGGGGGAACTGCGTCAACGTAGGTGCCTGTGGACTTCCAGGAAGCCATCTCTGCATCCATAGCTGCCTGCCACTGAGACGAGTAGGGACCCTCTACGGCCTCCGCGTAAGAGCGCGGAGTCGGGATGTCTAGTGCATCCGGGTCTCCCTTAGGAGCAAGCAGTACAGACGCGAGATGAGGTGAAGCAGCAGTCAGACACTGGAACTCCTCCTGCCTGTCCTCTAGGACTTCCGTGCCAAGAGCACACTCACCACCGACGGACGGAGGACAGTCAGACGCAGACTCAGCAACAAGACTAGCAGCGTAGTCTAGACGACAGCGAGCAGCAAAGTCGACAAGCTCAGCGCAAAGAGCAGACGCAGCAGTGGACTCAAAAGAGGGGTCAGTGACGACAGTAGCAAGCAGACGCGTGACAGTAGGACTGGCAGCACGAAGAGAGTCCGACTCAGGGTCGGCAAGCGCAGGAAGAGAGGACTCAGGAGGAGAAGGCAAAGGGGCACGCAGAGGAGCAGTGGACGGACGCAGAGACATCCGGTGCGTGCCAGGGACAGGGGTGGAGTAGCGTGCAATAACGGCGTCGTACAAGGTCTGAGCACTCTTGTACGACCCAAAGTGCGCACGCTCAGCGGGAGGGAGGTGGCGACGCACTGCAAGACGTGTAGCAGCATCGCGTGTGGCCCACTGTGAGCGAACAGTGGCACCCTCAGTAGCAGCAGGGGCGGGAGAGGCACCAGAAGTGAGATCAAAGAGAGAGAGTCCGTCAGCACTGTAGGAAAAGCAGTAGGTCGTCTACCCACACGTCAAAGTCGATGGCTCTGCCCTCAGCGTCAAAGGCGAGGACACTGGGGGTAGCCATGACAGCAGTAGAGAGAGGGCAGTGCGCAGAGTAAAGCTCAGTGCTCACCAGACAGGGCAGTGCAGGGAGGGCTCGGGCGGCTCGGGCGGCTCGGCGGCCCGACTGCTGAGCGGCTCGGGCGACTCGGCGGCTCGGGCGGCTCGGGCGGCACGGCAGCTGGGGCGGCTCGGCTGCTGGGGCGGCTCGGCTGCTGGGGCGGCTCGGCTGCTGGGGCGGCTCGGCTGCTGGGGCGGCTCGGCTGCTGGGGCGGCTCGGCTGCTGGGGCGGCTCGGCTGCTGGGGCGGCTCGGCTTCTGGGGCGGCGGGGCCGGGAGTTGCAGCGGCGGGGCCGTCAGGTGCAGCAGGGGGGGGCTGTCAGGTGCAGTGGCGGGCCGTCAGGCGCAGCGGCGGGCCGGCAGGTGCAGCGGCGGGCCTGCAGAGAGGACGGCGGGGCCGTAGGGTGCAGCGGCGGGCCGGCAGGTGCAGCGGCGGGGCCGCCAGGTGAAGCGGCGGGCCGTCGGGTGCAGCGGCGGGCCGGCAGGTGCAGCGGCGGGCCGGCAAAGGGAACGGTGGGGCCGTCAGGTGCAGCTGCGGGGCCGGCAGAGGGGACGGCGGGGCCGTCAGATGCAGCGGCGGGCCGTCAGGTGCAGCGGCTGGCCGTCAGGTGCAGCGGCGGGCCGTCAGGTGTAGCGGCGGGCCGTCAGGTGCAGTGGCGGGCCGGCAGGTGCAGCGGCGGGCCAGAAGAGGGGACGGAGGGGCCGTCAGGTGCAGCTGCGGGGCCGGCAGAGGGGACGGCGGGGCCGTCTGAGGGAACGGCGGGGCCGTACGGTGCAGCGGCGGGTCCGGCAGAGCAGGCGGCGGGGCCGCTTCGTAGCTGGCGGCAGGGCCGCGTCCGAGCAGGCGGCGAGGCCGCGCCGTAGCGGGGCCGCGATGCGGTGGCGGGGCCGCGACTAGACAACGGGGCCGCGAAGGAGAGGCGGGGCCGCGAAGGAGAGGCGGGGCCGCGAAGGGAGGGCGGGACCCGCTAGGAAGGGCAGCGGGGCTGCGTGAAGGGCAGCGGGGCTGCGTGGGGAAGGGCGACTCGGGGGGTCGCTAAAAAAAAACGATCGCGCGCCTCGGGGCGCGCTTCGGTGGGCCCTAGGCGAAGTTCCCACAGGGAACCCGCTCTATACCATGTGAAAGTAAGGAACAGGAATGTTGAACTATGAAGTGAAAACAGTACAAGTACCAACCCTAATTGGGTTGTACCCCTTATGTGCTACCCCACTACAGCCTACAAACATGCATTAGCTATAGTAATCTGACAGGCTGGATGCTAGTACAGCGCACACCCTCATCCATTGGCTCGATGCTCAATTTCAGCGATTGGGTGCCGCTCCGAAGCACACACATCAGCACTCATCGAGCTGAGTCCATTCGAGCAAGAGTGGTGATTGGTAAAATGTATGCTGTTCTACCATCTTGTAAATCTTTGCTGACACAGCAAAGCAATTCAGGAAATCGTGAGTTAGCTTGTTGGGAAATCGTGATACTGCACGTTTAAGAGAGATGCCTACAGTAAAGTATAGTAACATGTTCAAAATAGTAAAACAACTGTTTATTAAAACAACCATTCATAAGCCAATAATTTGTTACCAATATAAAAAAATACTCAAAACAATAATATAATATCTTTAATATTGATTTTGCCAACAATGTAACGGTATGCAACAACGTGCAGGCTTGATAAATTAAATGTTTCATACAACTCATTATGTAGTGTACATTACGTTAAGACCCACTTGGTCCTGGACAAAACGTTAAAAGTTTTTGCCGGGTATAAAAATATGTCGGAAACCCGTCGAACCACGCTTCACCTAGCACTTGAATGCCTGTGTTTCTGGCTGTTTTCCCGAAAACATTTTGGTGACAACTCCAACCACGATTTCGGTAACTGCGCGCGATCAGAATCAACTCGAAGTCGGTGGGCAGTTAGAAAAAAACACTGTTGGCAAATTGCGGGAACCCGATGTCGCCGAATTGTCTGCCAGCAATCTTCCCTCCAACACCCGCAAAGTTGCGATGGTGTGTCATGATGCTTCTCACTGAGTCGTCGCCATGCGCTGCCTTCATCATCTGAACTGCTGCAGAGGACACGGGAGAGGGTGTGCAGGGAGGAGAACAGAGAAAAGCTATGAGAGAGCAGATATGAGAGAGCAGAGAGGGAAGCGAAAAGAGAATCGAGCTGAAGAGGTGGAAAACGAGGCGAGCAGGAAGGAGGGAGCAGGGGGGACGGCATGAGCCCAATTCAAGGCTTACGAAATCAAGTCAAGGGCTGACTACAAGTCAAAGATACTGCAGCAATGAGAGCAGCGGACTGACCGCAGAGGTGACTTTTGAGTCGACTCAAAAGTCGAAATCAAGTCAAGTGCTGACCACAAGCCAAAGATACTGCAGCAATGAGAGAGCAGCGGACTGACTGGCGATGAGCGCAAAGGCGAGCAGCAGGAGTCCGGCAGGAAAGGCGCGCATCGACCCCATGATGATGACGTGGGATTCGCGGCGTGGGAGAGGCAGGCGGAAGGTTGGCGGAAGAGGCGCGAGAAGCGCAGCAACAGTGGCGCAAAAGAGGAGGAACAGAGGCGCAATAGAGGCGGATGAGAGACGCAGCAGACGCGCTGTGTGCTGTGCGAGTCACGGGTGGAAGAATAACAGCTTGCAAGTTCCAAGTTGGGAATTGGACTATCACTATGCGCATGAACAGCACGGCGCTGATCTGGTGCTTGCTATATACTGCGAGTGACTAGCGCGATTCAGCATGACAGTCCTCAACATATCATCATCGTGATCATTATTGGTACTATTACGGATACCTTCGAGTTTCCGCAAGGTATCCGTGTGATGTGACTACGGAGACCTTGCGCCACATATAATGCAGTGTTTGGCCTCTGCGAGTCTACTTCGATGCAGTAAACTCAGAAGTAGACCCCCGCCAACGTTTCCGTGACGATTGCGCCCCATATAATGCAAGGACGATTATGGGAGCCGCGATATGGTATGGCTTCCCTTGAGTGATACTCGAATGCAAAGACGAAATCGCTCTGGATTTTCAGAAACGCGATGCGTGCGACGACAGTGATTGGCGGAGCGTCTATCATAGTGAATCGCACACATGCTAACAAGTGTTCTTTCTGGTTCGTCGCTTCTTCCCTAGCGACTTCCAATTCGGCTCGGCGGTGAAAAATGCGCGATTACGCGAATTTCTCATGAGATCAGCTGCTACATATACATTATATATGTAAAGCTTAGGGCATTAGTTTTCTGCTGGTCGGCTGGGTGTTTGGGTGACGCGTTTCGTGGATCTGGGGTAACCCTAAGCACGCATTACCTCTTTCGATTTTGCCCGATCGACCCTGCGCAGGATCGAAACGTCACGCGGAGGTTCGGAACATTCAGAATGCAACGAACGAGCAACATTTCAGTGCGGGCGACGATCGGTCTTGCACGATCGATCGTTCAAAAATGAAGAGGTGACGCGTCCTAAACTTAGACATACTTCCTGCACCTTTTTCTCCCACATATAATGCAGCTGTTCGTCTCGAGAAAATATTCTCCTTGTCGCATATCGCCCCACTGCCGAACCTGATTGGAAAGCTCTTGTGCGATTGATGTGTGTGATTCGTGAACGACAGTGCATCACGACACGCCTCTCCAATAATGTCGTTCTTGCGACTCACCCGACTCAAGCACCACGTGACCTATGGACACCCCGCCAATCGCTGCCGTCGCTCGCATTGCTTTCCCAAAAATGAGAGCCAAGCCCTCAGTGTTGCATACCGCCGCCGCGCTCCTGTAATTATACGAGACTCGCGCTTCGAAATTATATGTGACTCATGGTTCCAGAGATACCAGCGCGCTCTGTAATAATATGATGTGACTTACTGTAGCCGACGCGCACCTACAATCATATGAGGCACTTTCTCGTGGCGCCTGAGGCGCCGCGGCTGCCATGCTGAATCGCGCTTGTAGTAAGCTCGCAAGAGATAACAGCCCAGCAGTCCCATTTCCAACTTGGAAAGCAACGCCTTTCTTCCCATCGTGAGAGCTCAGCTTTCGTCTGCCTTGTCGCGCCTCTGTTTGCGCCTCTGTTTGCGCCTCTGTTTGCGCCTCTCTCGCCGTCCCTTCCGCCGCCATTCCCGCGGGACCCCCGCCGTCATCATCATGGGGTCGATGCGCACCTCTCCTGCCGGACTCCTGCTTCTCGCCCTTGCGCTCATCACCGGTCAGTCCGCTGCTCTCTCATTGCCTTCTCTCACATTCCTTTAATTTGTTTGCCTTTCTCCCTAGCTTTTGAGTCGAATCAAAAGTCATCCCTTGCCCGCAGGCGGTCATTCCGCTGCTCTCTCATTCAAGGAAGTTCCTTTGATTCCTAAGCCTTTTTTTCCTGTTCTCTCCGCCTCTCCTGCTCGCTTCGTTTTCCACGCCCTCAGACTCTTCTTTCCCCCCTCTGCTCTCATATATCTACTCTCTCATATCTGCAGCAGTTACGATGATAACGGCAGCTCATGGCGATGACTCAGTGAAACGCATCATCACTCACCGTAGCATGCTGCGGACCATGATGCGGAAAGGCGCGTATGGGGAAGGCGCAGAGGCGGAGACAGCAAGCAGGAAGGGCAATGCGCGGATTGCGCTAGAGACCACCACCACCACCAGCACTGGCAGCACCCCTGCTGACAGCCCTGCTGACAGCACCAGCACCACCACCGGTGGCGGCACTAGCAGCACCAGCACTGGCAGCACCAGCACCGGCAGCACCACTGGCAGCACCAGCACTGGCAGCACCACTGGCAGCACCAGTGGTAAGTTCAGAGGGTGTGATTGTGAAGGGCGTGATTCACTCTGCTTTCAGAGGGGCGATTTCTCTTTTGGCGTGTCTCAGTCTACCGCGCCGTCTTGCATTTGTCTGCCATACCACATTCTCAGTACCTTGCCGTCTCTGCCCTGACTTTTGAGTCTCTGCCCTGACTTTTGAGTCTCTGCCCTGACTTTTGAGTCTCTGCCCTGACTTTTGAGTCTCTGCCCTGACTTTTGAGTCTCTGCCCTGACTTTTGAGTCTCTGCCCTGACTTTTGAGTCTCTGCCCTGACTTTTGAGTCTCTGCCCTGACTTTTGAGTCTCTGCCCTGACTTTTGAGTCTCTGCCCTGACTTTTGAGTCTCTGCCCTGACTTTTGAGTCTCTGCCCTGACTTTTGAGTCGACTCAAAAGTCACCTAGCAAACATCGTCTTGCCTAGTTTACGACGTTCCGTCGTTCTGATGCCCTTATGGTGCGTGAAAGCATTCATATCTTCATCTGTTGCCCTTTTCTCTTCACTTCAGTTGCTGCAGATCCTGCCTGTGCGGGGTTGGGCTGTGAGCCGGATGGCACCTGTGAGGAGGATCAAAACGGAGGGCGCTACTGCAAGTGGGGTGAGTGAGAGTTTAGCTCCTTTGCTTCACGCTTACACGCAGCCCTCTCTCCTCTGTTCCCTGCATCGACGCTGCCTATGCGGCGTTGGGCTGTGAGCCAGATGGCTAATGTTTGGTGGGTCAAGATGGAACGCGTTGCTGCCAGTGGGGTGAGTGAGCGTGGCGTTGCTGCCAGTGGGGTGAGTGAGCATGGCGTTGCTGCCAGTGGGGTGAGTGAGCATGGCGTTGCTGCCAGTGGGGTGAGTGAGCATGGCGTTGCTGCCAGTGACATGAGTTGTTTTCTGCTCTGCAAGGGAGGTGGTGCCAGAAAGGCGAGTTCTTTCCACACAGGCAGTGGTCAAGGGAGTTGCAAGGGAGGTGATTGCGGTGGTTAAGGGAGTTGCAAGAGAGGTGGTTACTTCTTTCCTTCTCTGCCATGCGGTTAGGATGGAGGTTCATGGACGCTCCCACTTTCCTACCCCCTCAAGGCATGCATTCGTACATGTTGTATGAGGATGGAGGTTCCTGGATTCCACACATGCAGCGAGGAGATAACTCCATTCTCACTGCATGGTGAGGAGATAACCACCACAGGAAGGTTCCTTTTGGGGTTATGGATGACACCTCAGGGCATTTCCGTCACCACTTTCTGTCACCTCAGGGGCATTTTCGTCACCTCAGGGGCATTTTCGTCACCTCAGGGGCATTTTCGTCACCTCAGGGGCATTTTCGTCACCTCAGGGGCATTTTCGTCACCTCAGGGGCATTTTCGTCACCTCAGGGGCATTTTCGTCACCTCAGGGGCATTTTCGTCACCTCAGGGGCATTTTCGTCACCTCAGGGGCATTTTCGTCACCTCAGGGGCATTTTCGTCACCTCAGGGGCATTTTCGTCACCTCAGGGGCATTTTCGTCACCTCAGGGGCATTTTCGTCACCTCAGGGGCATTTTCGTCACCTCAGGGGCATTTTCGTCACCTCAGGGGCATTTTCGTCACCTCAGGGGCATTTTCGTCACCTCAGGGGCATTTTCGTCACCTCAGGGGCATTTTCGTCACCTCAGGGGCATTTTCGTCACCTCAGGGGCATTTTCGTCACCTCAGGGGCATTTTCGTCACTTTTGAGGTTCCTGGATTCCACACACATGCGATGACAGCTCCACCACCACAGGAAGGTTCCTTTTGAGGCTCTCGAAAATAGAGCATCGGAATGACTGCTCCAGTGTGTGACTTTTAAGTCGGGGTTCCTTAAAAGGCACACACTGCAGCAGTCATTCCGATGCTCTATTTCCGATCCCTCTTCCTTACTTCTTCCCTCTTCCTTGCTTCTTCCCTCTTCCTTGCTTCTGCCTCTACCTTGTTTATCCCCTCTTCCTTCCCCCTCTGCCTTGCTTCCCCCTCTGCCTTGCTTCCCCCTCTGCCTTGCTTCCCCCTCTGCCTTGCTTCCCCCTCTGCCTTGCTTCCCCCTCTGCCTTTCTACCTGCTTCACTGCTACTTCCCTCTCCCGCGCATCTCCCTTGCTTGCCTTGCTGTGCCCTTCAGACTCACCCTGAGTCTCTCCTTAAGAGTATAACTTTTGAAGGTTCTCGGGAAAAAAAAAAAAACAAATCTCAAAAGTGATTTCCATACTCTCCCGCGCTTCTTTCGCGCACCTCCACCACCCCCCCTCAGACTCACCCTGTGGCGCCTGCCCCTCTGGAGCCCCAATCTCCCACTAACATTGCACTCACATACTGCACTGCACCCATCCCTACCCCTCAGACTCACCCTGTGGCGCCTGTCCCACTGGAGCCACCTGCAAGACCGTGCCTGCAGCAAGCAACAGTTCGGTGCCGGTGCCTTACTGCGCGTGCCCTGTAGGCTATGGGATGACCCCGACTGACTGTGTTCAGGGTGAGATTTTCTTTCTTTTATGGATTCTTGCTCTAATCTTCTGACCCTCTCCTCTCCCCCACTCATCCCACTCTTATCTTCACCTTTCTTGCTGTCCCATGTAAGAATGTAGGAATATGTAAAGGTGCAAGCAAACATCACACTGAGTCCTTTTTTGTTCCACTCATTCTCAGGTGTAGAATCAACGGTCTCTTCCAGCGGA